TTTAATAAAGATGATTGAAACATTGCAGCTAAAATAGTTACTGATAAAAAAGTTGGAACTGAAGGTCTCATTTTTATGATAATAACAGATATTAAATCTTTATAATCTTTACGTTTTATATAATACAGAGAACAATGGCCTCCACAGTTGGCTTTTTTTATGATTATTAATAAGTCCAAAGTCAGAGTTTTGATGTATAAGGTTTATATTTAAAATAACTTTAATTTTTTTATGGACAGTCATGTGTCACTGTATTAACATGTATTAATTTTGAATTCATTTGTATTTAAAATATATTGAAAAATCTGTTACAAATAAAAAACATCACATGGAATCAGATTTTTTATTTCTAAAAATCAGCTTTTGTGTAATAAGTCCAAAGTCAGAGTTTTGATGTATAAGGTTTATATTTAAAATAACTTTAATTTTTTTATGGACAGTCATGTGTCACTGTATTAACATGTATTAATTTTGAATTCATTTGTATTTAAAATATATTGAAAAATCTGTTACAAATAAAAAACATCACATGGAATCAGATTTTTTATTTCTAAAAATCAGCTTTTGTGTTATATTTCTAAATTTATTTAAATTCATGATAGCAATACCTTGCAAATAAAATGAAAGACTACTGTGGTGTACAGTAAAAGTGATCTAGTGGGTGCAGTAGACTGACGGTGGAGAGGTGTGAGGAAGCATAGGAGATTTTATGTAAAAATAAGAAAAATTATGGGGGATGAGGGTAAGGGTAGTCCAAGATTGTCTTCAATCATCAAAAAGTCATTATTGTTCTGCCTTTTTTTCGACTCTTCCTTGAAAAGAACAAGTAAAAAAAGTTGTTTTTCCATACCATGTTTGAAAAATCAATATGGACATTTTGGTTCTCTAAAAGGTAACTACTTGATCTACTACAACTACATGATCAACGCTCAAAAATAGAAAAGGGTTGGACAGATAGGTAAAAAATAACTCCACGTATAAAAAATAATTATTAAGGTGTAAGAATATATTTTTCACGGATTCATACAAACAATCGTAATAGTTCTAAGAATAATAAGTAATATCTCAAAGACAAAACTACCTCCTACATATCCTAGCTATAAGTTTATTCATTTTCTTTTCTCTATCGTGTATTACAAGAGCAATTATGACGTGACCAAAATCTATATTCTTATTATCAATTTTAAGATTTGTAGAAATGAGTTATAAACACCGGTAACTTTTAATATTAAATCATTAATAATCATAGAAGATAAACTAAATGAAAACTTAAGACTTTACAATGAAAAATAGCTATATTTTTATTGTTTATCTTAATCTCAATCAGATAGAGTGGATTATTTTACTTTTATGATAGCCTAAATGAAAAAAAATTTTCATTCGTGAGATACAATGATTTTAACAAGGATTGATTGTACATGTATAACGTCATATTAAATGTACGAGTAGTAATTTTAAATAAAAGGAATTTTTGTCCAACCTAATTGAACAAAAGTACCTTTTTTCGTGGCAGTATGGTGAAAAATTTGCTTCGTTCTGCATTACATGACCATTAGCTCTTACATGTATATATATATATACCATAGCGAGCATTAAGGTACTTAGAATGCGCGTATTACGTGTAATATAAGTAGTACGTACAAGTATATGTATTTCATGCACGCGCGTGCTCGAATACATAATAATGACATTAATAACAATAGTAATAATAATAACAATAATTATTAAAACAATTATAATAACAATCAAAAATATAGTAATAATAAAATTTTAACTATTTCAATATCAGATTCTTAAAGACCTATTAAAATTAGGTGTAATCTAACTTTCTCAGTTTCTGATATACTGATTTTAATAACATTTGAGTTGGAAGTTTCACTTCTGCTGGGGATCCCAAGAGCCAATCCTGGTTTTTTTATTAATACCTCAGCATAGTCGAGTAAGAATATCCACTACTTGATGGCATGCACTTACCACCCACAATTCTTAAAAAAAGCGTCTTATGGTGCCTCCTTACACTGAGCAAGTATCTCCAATCATCTCACATATCTGAGATCTTGTGATAATTTGTAGGTCTCATGTTTTACTGCTTGTTTATTGTTTTTCTGTTGACCCTTAGGGCTGTTCCGTCGGTTCAGTATGGAATTTCCATATACATATATATGACAGCCACGTCTATCCACGGGTCGAGAAAGAGAGACTTTACTTTCGTACAATAGTGCTCACACATCCGCGCTTCGTCGGTATATGTACAGCAAGAGGAAGGCAGTGGAGTGTCAAGCAGCGCCGACACATCGCGACTGATAGCCTTCTGCTTAACTCATTAGGGCACTTTACTTTTGGCACTCTTGAGGTACTTACGTCGGCTCTCTTGGGATTCACCGTAGCAATTTGTGCCTAGTTCTTCTGTGACCTCTTGTTTAGCTCACGTAGATTACGTTTAACAAACGCCGTGCTTATTCATTGTGCTTTCTTGGGTGATCTTTCTCAAGCTCTCTCTCTCTGGTTGATACACCGCGGTATATTCACATGTTCGCGACCACAACGCACCAGCGTCTTTGTGGACAGATTGCGGAAGGGAACACTATATGTGGCACGCGTTGTTATCCACGAAGGCTTTCGCGCCCTCCTTTTGAAGGCCCTTAATTTTAATTACGTGCAGCAGAGTAAAAAATTAGCCAGGGGAACGCGACTTGTAAAAATTCAGTGTCCATTGGCGTGCCGATTCCCTCTGCTACACGGGATATACCTTAGTGTATCTCCCCCGCAGCCGGCGCCCTTTGGTACTGGAGTATATGCTTTAGCCACTCTCATCCACTACCATGTGGCCCAGTTGGCCTCCCCCCCCCCCCCGTTGTACAGGAGGTAGACTGAGCCTCATGCGCTTTATTTGAGAGCGCATACGGGAAACCTCGGGTAGGTGAATCTGCTAGCTCCCTCCTGAAGACTACACAAGAAGAGTTTTGCTGAGGTATGGGCAGAGGCACAGCTCTCGAAGGTTGCCGAACGCGAGCCTTCTTTACCCAGCTTTCAAGAACTGCAAGAGTATTCCCCGGGCATCCGCAGCCCAGGAGGCATCCCAAGCCCGCCTACACTTGGGCAGCCAGGGAGCCACCAGGAGAGTCACGATGGAATGCCTGGAAGAGAGCACGTCCTCGTGAAGTAATCCGTTCTACGCGCCATCAGTGGCCCGGCCACCCACAATACCGTTGCTCTCGCAGAGATGTTGGCTTACATCTCTGTATTGGTTTTTTGCTGTCAGTTTATTCAATTTATTATTTTAACGTTTATACCATTTAATCTAATTCAGTTGCATTCAATCTGGATTGCATTTGTTGTTTTTGTTCATTAATAAATTGAGCTTTTTATGCCTTCCGGCTTTTTTTCCAAAATGCAGTATTTTTCTGTATCACCTCCCATTTAATTTAATAACTCCGGAGCCTAGACAAACCGACAAGGTTTTGAGCGTACATGACAGCACAGCGTTACTATGCAAAAGTTTTGCTTAAGCCTTTGCTTGTGCTTTTGCCTCTCTCGATGCTTTTTTTCAGAACACTAAGCAGATACGTGTTGGTGCTTTTGCCGTACATAACCTGTCGTGCATAGGTAATGCCTGTACTACTGGACTCTTTTTTAAAGTGGTTTAAGCGCTTTCACTTACAAGATAACTTAGACCTATCTTTTTTCGGCAGACTTTTGACATGACTAGGCAGGCATGTCCATAACCCATAAGTCTTAATTTGATTGTCATGATGAGCCTTCTTCTTGGTTGATCGGAAACAAATCCAACTTTTACTTTAACTACATTTTTCACATGCTTTTTATTTAATTATCTCAGGAGAATCAGTTCTATTTTTCATATCTTTGAACTTGGTTTTGGAAACTAAATCTTAAAGTCTTGGCTTTCAAAGGCAAATTTTTGTATAAATGATTTAAGCTTGGAAAAATTTTTAAATTTTGTTTCTTATCAATAAGTAATTCTACTCGACCAAAAAACTAAGCGATTTTTTAATCATAACTACTGTTTTATCAATCTTTATTGATCTATTACTTTGCAGATATTAGAAAAAATCTAATACCGTATTCAATACCTATGTTGGCATAATAATATTAAAGAATACCAAGAGATAGCTTAAAATAGAAAGCTTGAGGTAATAGTAAGACAGACAAACACTGAATCAGTAGTGACCTTCTAGAATATTTTACAGATATACTTATGAAGTGAGAAAATTTTTTTAACTATAACAGGACTGTCTCGTTTAATAATAACATATACAGTATCTTACTCACCTGGATTGTCTGCTCTAAATCGAAATACTACGTATCCATTATTAGGAACAGCAATTGTATCCTTAGAAGGTGGTAAATTAAACTCTCGGTGTAGCAATCCACGTCTGTCAAGGTCAAGAGCATGCTTCAAATTAATTTTTTTCACATTTTTATCTGGAGAGCGTCCGATGCCAATCACTTTAAAGGCATAACCATGTAGATGGAAAGGATGAGATAGATTCGGCTGTTGTACTAAAAATTGAATGTTACATTATATAATGAGGAATAAATTTTAATTGCAGTACTTATGTTTTAGAAATGGTCATGAATACAACCTTAAAAATGCTGTACATATATAATAAGTGTTATAATAAATGTTACATTATTTTATGTTTAGCACTCAAGGTGTATGTATTTTATGTTCAACAATCATAAAACTTCAAAGCCTACTCTACAAATTCACAAAATTTGGTGACACATAAAGCTTATACATATGTATATAGATATACGTATGTGTGTTTGTATATATACACACATATATCTAGAATGAAAAAAAATATCCATACATTAGCAAATCACCCTTAACACAAGAGAGTGTGATCTTTCATAGAGGTAGTTCAAGATTTCTGAGCTAAGATGTAGATCTTAAAATGTATTTTGATTATTAATTTACTAAGTAATCATTCAGAAAAATAGTACGGTTCTTGAAAATCTGCAGCATTGATGTATATGCTGGTAACAAGTTTACTTTAGATCAACTTTGTTTGAAAATTATGAACAAAGTGAGTATTGTTTATAACACAACACACAATATTAATACCTTGCGAGTATTTGTTAAGCCTTTGAGATCGTGAGTTACGTATTATTATTAGCAACAGACGATGGAAAGTTATTTAAAATAAAGAGATTGAATGAAAAAAGACAACAGTGTTCTTAGAACCCATCAGTAAATTCGATTCATTACCTACAGAATAATTTGTGCGTACCTCTCAAAGATGATGTACCTGCCCTTAGATACATACTATTAATTCATATGAGTTTATATCACAAACTGTTTAGGAGATACAGTTTACTACTGTGGTGCTATATAACTACTTAAGGGAGTTCACTCGTACCTAACCTTTTTGACGCATACGATCAGCAGTATTGTAACATGCATGACTATATATACAGACATAACGCGACATACTAACGGTAGCTGTCAAAGGAGAATTATTTTATTCACTAATTTATTGCTTATTCCATAAGCCATTAATAAAGATGAGACTATAGCTACGTAATCACCAAGTTTTTAGCTATTTTATAAAAAATTTCCAATTAAATCTTGACGTTGATTTTCCAGATATTGCAGGTTATGTATCAGAACAGTACTAATTCTAATAAGACTGCACGTTAAAAGCTCAATAAAAAAATTATCAATATCTCACTTTATAAGCTATAATGGGACTTGAAATTTGAATCAAAGGCTTTTCAAACACTAATTAATCTCTGTTCAAAGTATTATCAATATATTGACGTTAATTCTTTTAGCGACTGAACTCCCGTAAGGACTCATAGTACGTCTGGAATAGAGCTGATGATAAATACTTGCAGCTAATCAGTAAAAGGTATAAGAGTACACACTCATTGAAACGAATTCTCTATCATATTGTTCACTATATATATAAATTCTCTACCGAGAAGCGTTTGAGTCACAAAACTATCATATAGAGCTTAGGTGAAAGACAGCTCTAAAAATTAAAAATGAGGACCTCATCTTATCAGAAAAACTACAGTGAATAGTATTTACAAATCATTAATTCTTAACTCGTGTTTGTAGGTTCAGCAAGTATACATATAAGAATCGATTTTAACCAACTGTTTTTATGATTTTTTGAAATATATTGTAGTGGTTAACTCAGATACTCTGTATAGTTTTTTTAGTTTTTTTTTATTCAACAAACTGAAAAAACTGTTGAGAGTTACCTACAGCTAATATTTTTGAATAAAAACGCAATTTCCCTAGTATTACTATATCTCACAACTTTCTGTTGAAGGTCAAACATAAAAATAATATAACAAAAAGTTTCTATCAATTTAAAGCCACTTTCTGCTACATCCTTCAATATCAACAGTTTTACATAAAAAATTGAGTGTTCATGAATCCTTTAAGAAACTGAGTGGTATTCATGTTGTCAGCAAATAACGGTATAGAAATGTGCGACTAGCTCAGTATGAAAGATACCTTTCCACAATCAGAGACGGCGTTACGGAAAAAACTATTATCAGATACCAAAAAAAAATTATTACAGTAATATGTACAAAAAAAATAGAAAACGAAGAATTGTTGCCTTTGTCGTAAGTAAACTAGTCAGGAGAGATGTCACTTTTCTAAACATTAAAGGTTTGATTCCAGGTACATTTACTTCAAATTTTTTTGAGTATTTTTCTAACAGGAGAAGTACCCTAGGCTTTAGATTTTTTTAGCAGATATTTTCAGATAGTGGTAGGTGAGTTTATAATAAAGGTAGAAGTTGGCGTACAGTTAAAAGAGGTTTTGTGAAGCAGACGCTGTAGTAAAAAGTACTGGTTTTTTAATGGATGTCTTTTAACGAAGCATCTTAAAACTGATATTTGCATAGACGAATTGTAGAAAACTGATATGAAAATCAAAACTAGGGACCTAATAGTTTATTTTTAATGAGTATTAGGAGTAAACTATTTAATTATTAATAAAAATAACTATTAATAAGTAACTATTTCCAGTACAAATTTGAGAGCAGAAGTACACTTGTAAATCTTGGGATTCAAGACTCTTCGAATAATAAAGCAAAAACAGGTTCTCTGATAGTTCTTATGAACATTTAGGTTAAAATGTAAGCTTACTTGACGTGTACAAATTTCTAGGTCATATAGTATTTTGGGTTATAAAACTTTAGTTTTTTAATTAAATACTTAAAAAAACTATGATAAGACCCCAGTGCTAAAATAAAATTAGTTAATAAAAATTAGTTAATTTGTCAGCTGATAAATCAGCTGATTTCTGATGCTAAATCGTCAGCTGATTTTTCACCTGTGCGAAAAAATACAAGTCCCATCAGGTTGAAAAATGCAAGCCCCAAAGGAATAGTAGTTTTCCTACGAGTTTGGAAAGTCTTTGTTTGTGAACCGAGAGGTTTGCGGCCCGAGCCGAAGGCGAGGTCCGCAACGAGGTTCGTAAAGGAGACTTTTCGAACGAGTATCGGAAAACTGCTTTTTTGCCTGAGGAAGTACCAGCCTCCCAAAACCACCCGAGGGCGGAAAAGGAGACTTTTCGAACGAGTATCGGAAAACTGCTTTTTTGCCTGAGGAAGTACCAGCCTCCCAAAACCACCCGAGGGCGGAAAAACATTTTTTTTCGCCATTATTGAAACTATGCATTCTGGGACTTTTATAGTGAAATGAGAGAGAGAAAGCTTAAGAGATGTAGAAAATTTTTAATAGCAATAACTACGAGTTCCATGCCCTGAAAAAATTTTCATCAGTGCTAAAAAATACAAGTCCCAAAGGAAAAAAATTACATTTGCGATTGTCAAAAATATTCGTTTTGAGACAATTATAGTAAAATAATAAAGGTGAAAATTGAGAAATTTCGAAAATGTTTGACAGCTTAAATTACAAGTTCCATGCACTGAAAAAGTCCTGTCAGTACGAGTCCAGACTATAAAAATTTAATTTTCATTGAAATGTATGCGTTTCGGGAAATTTGAAGTTGATTCAAAGGGTGCAGAAATGTATTTTATTCCATTTCCTCACCTAAAGTATGACTTTTTTTCCCCTCACCGTTAGAAATCGCATTTACTGCCTATAAAAAAGTACTTTATCATCCTCTGCATTGTTGGCACCCCCGTGTTTAGCTTGGGAGGCAATTTTCACGTGGATGGTATTAAAATACTTTTATAAATAGCAGTACATGCGATGTACATAGCAGTACATGCGATTATAACATACGTACGGTCAATAATAAAATAGTAAGTCATACTTTCTTCACTTGTAGCGGAATATACTATTACTTTCGAATTTTAAAAATTACGAATTCCGTTGAAGCGAAAAAATATTAGTTCCGACTACAAAAAATATTAGTTTTTATTGCGAAATTCTTTGCAGCTTAAGGAATTTTACGTTCGTTTAAATAGTTCAAAAAGGACTGCTTTCTTGCATTTATCAATTACAAGTATTGTTCTGTTACAGTAAAGAAAGATCAATTTTGTAAGCTGTGAGGTATTGATTGACAAATAATACATGAGATTAAGCTATCTGTTGAAACAATAAGCTGATTTGTCAGCTAATAAATTAACCGATTTGTGATCCCAAATTGTCAGCAGATTTCTTGTACATCGAATTTTTTTCTTTCTAAATTTTCTTTACTAACAATCATTATTTATTTGCCGTGATAGAAAAGTAAAAATTTTCAGGAAACGCAATATGCATTTTTAGTCATTTTAAACATATTATAAATATTTAAAAAATTGATTTCTTTGGTTTTGTTCTGAGAAATTTACAAGTTCCTTCATCACAAAAAATAGAAGTTCTATGAGTACATAAAATTTCTAGTCTTTGTAAGTGAAAAAATTAGTAGACATAATAAAAAAAAATTTTAATTTTCAAAAAACACCAGGTGTGTTTTCAGTAATTAAGAGTAGATTATAAATATCAAAAAATATAATACGGTTTCAATAAACTTAAAACTCCCCGAAAGGCACACATTTAATCATAAAAATTTAGATGTTATGTAGTGGGTACCTGTATTTTCCCGGGCGAAAAAAACTTACTTATTTTAAAGTGCAAAAAAAAAGTCAGTGTATCGAACTATTTCAATTAACTATAATTTTCCCCAAAATGCACCCGTTTCATCATATTTCTGAATACTTATAAAAAAATCACATTTTTTAAGATTCGTAACATACATTAAATGTTTAAGAACATATGTTATATTTCCTAAAAAATCTGAATTTTCTATCATGGCTGGTAATTTTTCGCACTCTTCGGGACTATTTTTTCGTAATCACAGAATTCTTTACTTTCACCATGTATAACCTTTTTAAATTACACTTTTCAAGTATTTGCAAGTAACTCAAAATAACTAAAAACATAATGTTTTTGTAATGCAAAGTTCTGACTTTTTCAATTAGGACTTGTGTTTTTCTCGTACTTAGGTACTATGATTTTTTTTTAATATTAATTTTATAGTATAGTTATTAACTTACTTACTTGCTTTGAATTGTTTGATACAA